TTATTTGCTTGCTTATTTACTTATTTGCTTGCTTATTTGCTTGCTTGCTTGCTTATTTATTTGCTTGCTTGCTTGCTTGCTTATTTGCTTATTTACTTATTCTGACTTGATGACTGTACCTAGAATCAATGATGATTTAGGCAAGTCACTTGAGATTGACATTATTGAAATTGAAAGTGACTTGATTGGTATTATTATTGTAGTTGGTATTGATATTCATTGAAGAATATCTAGAATAACTATAAGTTGAGTAGCTGTGGTAATAACAGCATAATGCGAATGAACGCAGGAGATAAATGGAGTTGAAGTGTATTCATCCATTTAGATTGATAGATTGAATTATTAATCATTCTGATTGATAATAATCTGGTCGATCCTGCCAGTAGTCATACGCTCGTCTCAAAGATTAAGCCATGCATGTGTAAGTCTAAATAGTTTTAGTGTGAAACTGCGAATGGCTCATTATATCAGTTATAGTTTATTTGGAATAGTTTCTATATGGATAACCGTAGTAATTCTAGGGCTAATACATGTGTTTTCTTTGGTGGGCAACCATTAAAGAAGTACTTATTAGACATAAAACCAATTTAATGTTGTTGTGAGTAATAATAATTGTTGACTTTATCGCATGCTTGTTAGTAGCGATGTTCCTTTCAAGTTTCTGCCCTATCAGCTTTCGATGGTAGTGTATTGGACTACCATGGCAGTAACGGGTAACGAAGAATTTGGGTTCGATTTCGGAGAGGGAGCCTGAGAGATGGCTACCACATCCAAGGAAGGCAGCAGGCGCGTAAATTACCCAATCCTGACACAGGGAGGTAGTGACAATAAATCTCAATACGAAGCCTTTGGTTTTGTAATTGAATTGAGAACAATGTACAATCGTTATCGATAAACAATTGGAGGGCAAGTCTGGTGCCAGCAGCCGCGGTAATTCCAGCTCCAATAGCGTATATTAACGTTGTTGCAGTTAAAAAGCTCGTAGTTGAAGTTTAGATAATTTATTGAAAGTGTTTGTATTCGTACATTCTACTTTTATGTAAGTTATCGACATCCAGGTGGGTGCCATGGTTCCTTCGGGGGTTAGGGTACTAGACTGGTCATTTACTGTGAGAAAATTAGAGTGTTTAAAGCAGACTGTTCAGTTTGAATAGATTAGCATGGAATAATAAGATTGGCTTTCATAGTCGATTTTTTGGTTTGTTTATGAAAGCAAGATTAATAGGGACAGTTGGGGGTATTCATATTCAATAGCTAGAGGTGAAATTCTATGATTTATGGAAGATGAACTAGTGCGAAAGCATTTACCAAGGATGTTTTCATTAATCAAGAACGAAAGCTAGGGGATCAAAGAGGATTAGATACCCTCGTAGTCTTAGCTATAAACGATACCGACTAGGAGTTAGTAGATGATCCAATGGTGTCTATTAGTACCTTATGAGAAATCAAAGTCTTTGGGTTCCGGGGGGAGTATGGTCGCAAGGCTGAAACTTAAAGGAATTGACGGAAGGGCACCACCAGGAGTGGAGCCTGCGGCTTAATTTGACTCAACACGGGGAAACTTACCAGGTCCAGACATAGGAAGGATTGACAGATTGATAGCTCTTTCTTGATTCTATGGGTGGTGGTGCATGGCCGTTCTTAGTTGGTGGAGTGATTTGTCTGGTTTATTCCGATAACGAACGAGACTTCCGCCTATTAGTTGGATGAAATGGGATTTTTAGCCCCATTCTTTTAATCATCAACTTAGAGGGACACTGTGCGTTTGAGTACAGGGAAGCTGGAAGCAATAACAGGTCTGTGATGCCCTTAGATGTTCTGGGCTGCACGCGCGCGACACTGAACTATTCAACGAGTATCTGAGTCGATAGACTTGGGAAATCTTTTGAAAATAGTTCGTGATGGGGATTGATGCTTGTAATTTTTCATCATGAACGAGGAATTCCTAGTAAATGCAAGTCATCAACTTGCGTTGATTACGTCCCTGCCCTTTGTACACACCGCCCGTCGCACCTACCGATTGGATGATCCGGTGAACACTTTGGATTTTTAATTATTTATCAGATTCATGCTGGTAGATAGTTGAAGAGAAGTCGTGTAAATCTTATCATCTAGAGGAAGGTGAAGTCGTAACAAGGTTTCCGTAGGTGAACCTGCGGAAGGATCATTATCGTGTTTTGTTGTGGGTTGTGGCAGTGATTGCTACATAGCATTGGAAATTGTGAATCAGTGTGTGGTTGATTTGAGTTATTCTAATCATTGTTATAACTCTTCACGATGGATATCTTGGCTCTTGAATCGATGAAGAACGCAGCGAACTGCGATACGTAATGCGAACTGCAGAAGTCTGTGAGTCATTGAATCTTTGAACGCATATTGCACTTCCTTTGGGAGTATGCTTGTTGGAGTGTGATTTGACTTGGATGTCTGCCTATGGCAATAGTAATAGGATGGACGATGATTGATGGTGGATTGACTAAGGGCTTCCTCCATTGAAATAGAATGTGGTTGATTGAGGAGTTAAATTGGTAAATATCAATTAATTCCCTTTCTCTTATTACCTCTTCTCATCTTTCATCTCCAATCAAGCAAGAAGACCTGCTGAATTGAAGCATCTAACTAAGCAGAGGAAAAGAAAATAACGATGATTCCCTTAGTAACGGCGAGTGAAGTGGGAAAAGCCCAATCCGAATTAACACTTAATTGTGTTAAGTTGTGGAGTGTAGAAGTATTGTTTAGTAACAGTATACTATGAGAATTGGATTGGAAAGTCAAGTCATAGAAGGTGAAAACCCTGTATTTGCATAGTGTATTGTACTTGTGAAGCAGTACTTCGTGGAGTCGAGTTGTTTGGGATTGCAGCTCGAAGTTGGTGGTAAACTCCATCAAAGGCTAAATATGTTCAAGAGACCGATAGCGAACAAGTACCGTGAGGGAAAGATGAAAAGCACTTTGAAAAAAGAGTGAA